TAGGGGAGGCGTGGAAACTTTAAAGTTCCTTTTGATGTAATTTAAAGAGCACAGCCCGCAAGCTGGGAAAGGAGGAGCTGAAAGGAGAAGCCTTAAAGAGTGGATCTTTTTGGGGAAACTCAGATTTGACACTGTCACGTCTGTGGCTGATCTGTCTTGTAATCCAAAATAAATAGTTAGTAATTCTCACTAGTACGATGTCTTGGTTCTTTAAGTTTTGGTCTGCAAGGAAAAGCCATCTCTGCAACAATTCTTGAGTTCTGGGGCATGACATCCCCTCTTCAATTCTATGCTACTCAGATTCCATCTACTTTACTTCTTAATCCCTCCTGTCTTTAGCACTGGACATCAGAGTGAAGACACAGTTTGAAAGAAGAATGGAAAACTTTGGCCAATTATTTTAATTTGGCCTTCAGTCCTCAGTTGAATTTACCCCCTCTGTGAGACTATGATTTGGTGGTTTCCAGTTGGGTATGGTGTTTCTGCCCATTCTAGAAGGTTTAATTGTATGTCCCAAGGCTGAGTTGTTAGTAGAAAAGACATTAAACTAAAATATTGCTGTTATTTTTGGTTCATTGTTCTGCTTTTGGTTCAACCCATCATTGGTATGCAGCCCCCAAGGACTTCTATGAAACCAGTTAGGGATTCCACACTCTTGGTTAAACACTCTGTGTTAAAACACAGGCTTTGCTTGTAGAACCTCTCAGTTTCAATCCTAAACATCTGCTGTCAAAGTAGGGCTGGGAAACCTCTAGCTCTCTAGGTGTTTTGGCCTACAATTCCTATCAGCCTCAGGCAGCATGACTAGTGGTAAGGTAATGTGGAAGGTATAGTCAGAAACATCTAGAGGTCCAAAGATTCCCTGCAATTGAATTAAAGGGTCACAAGTGCTAGGAAAGCTGCCTTTCATGGTTTGGCCAGAGTGCAAGAAACTTTGTATACTCACTCTCCAACTATCCCAGTTTAGCAGGGATAGTCCCAATTAATCCTCTGTCATCCCATTTTTTTCAGCTGCTTTTCAAATGCCCTAACTTCTCTCTCATCCTCCCACTTTCAACTGCTGCAAACTGAGTTCAAAATGCAAAAGTTTGCATTCAATGAACTCAGTAGCGTGGAGAGGAAGAGCGGGTGGAATCTTGCCTTTCCCAGTAGGTACAGGGAAAAGCAAACTGCTACAATCTCTTCTAGCTTGCATGTTCCTCATTAATAACTTTTGTCATCTTGGCCACACTCTGATGTTGTTTGGCCATATGTGTTTGGCCTGGTTTTTATCTTTGAAACACTGGATCCTATGAACCATTGATCTTTCAGATGCTAATGAACTACCATTTCCTACTGTACTAACAACCAGGCAGACTGTCAGTGGTGAATGGGAATTCATCAACATCTGGATGATGACAGGTTAAAGAGCTCCACACTAATCCAGTGGTCTAAATAATTTGTCTTCTGGGTGTTTTAAACATCAGCACTCAGAACCCCTAGCCACTGGCCATATTGGCTGAGGCTGAAGTCAAAAACATCTGAAGCACCAAAGGGGAGAACCACAGGGCTAGACAACTCTGAGATAATCAGGGGTTGAACCTAGTGTAAAGCAGCTTCTTTTGGATTTAAAAGTACCTGCAACTCTAAATCCTTTAACTGTAGTTTCTCAACACTGAACTGGAGACCTTCTACATGCAAAGCTGCCAGACTACTAGCATCTGGGACCTTGGAGAGCCATTATTGTCAAGCAGTAAACCATACTGAGCTAGAAAATCCAGCAGCACATGCAACTATCAATGGTCAAGAGCTGCATCTGCCCCATTTTATATTCTCCAGGAGTAGAACAAAACTGGAAATGAATGTAAAGGTACTTCTGGTTTACAAAAAAATACTCTTTGAGCCAGGACACGGTGTAGATGACAGCCAAATATCCTTCAAGAGAAGAATCATGCACCTTGGAGGCTTCTGGAGGGGTGACATGTGGGTCTAGGGCAGAGCTTCCCAGCCTTTTCTATGTCCCACAGTCTTAGGAAATATTTGATTAATGTTTTCACTCTACAAAAGTAATATCACATTTGAAGGTGAAGAAGTCTTAATTTCTAGTTTTTGAATCACACACAAAACTGTAGATGAACAACTGTTGTTGTTTTTTAAAGCATTTCACTCAGTGCATAAAATGCACATCTAAATTGAGCAATTAGATTTTCTAATTTATTCAGGGGGAAAAATGAGTGATGACTCATGACTCAAGGACACAAGCCACTCTTTGTTGTACCCCTTGGAATTCCATCTTGCACCCCAGATTGGGAACCCTTGGTCTTAGGGGGTCTGCCCACACCTGTTAAAACCACTACATTTATTCCTCAGATGTATTGGTAGCACAGTGAGCAAGTCAAGCCAGCTGAACTGATTTTTAAATTTATTGAGTCTGTAATATAGTCATATCTTCTGGTCACAAGGGCTGTTAAATAAGAATGACCTCAGGAGGAGGCTAAGAATGTGGATTAAACAAAGGGAGGTAAAGGCAAAGCTGTCTATTCGAAATATCTCTTGTCACTCTGAGATGGATGGGACTGAGTTAGCCTCTTTAAGGATTAACAAAACATGAGTAAGAGCCAAGACATCTCTCTCTCTCACACACACACACCTCGTTCCCTTATGCCTTACCTTTTATGTCTTGGAGATAGTTGGACTGGGGTAGGATCAAACTCCATCTGGCAAACAGAAAAGGAATGGAAATGAATAGGGCGGCATCCTGTTACTTTTTAAAAACAAATCAGTTCTCCCTCCCTCTCATGACCCACACACATTCCTCCTATCCTTCTGTTCTAAATTATCAGACTCAACTCACTTTCCTAAAAGAAGCCAGTGTCTTTCCCACTGTCAGAAGTCACTCGATCCAGCTGACCTGCACTCAGAAAATCTTGCCTCCAATATTCCTGACCCCACCTTTTGCTGGAGGACACCAAGTCAGCTAAACAATATCAATTTATGGCCAACAGAATAAGACATCATTCAGTGCCTCCCACCCAAGATACCAAAGCAGCCTGGCTTCATTCTTACTCACCCTCTTCTTAGAAAATCCCAGCCTCTCAAATCTCAGTCATGTAAGGCTAAGGCCAAGTCCTGCCTTTTATCTTTTTTTCTCCAGTTCTGATGCTGCTTTCAAAGTGTAGCTAGCAAAGGCAGGCAGGCAGGCCAGCAAGAAGGAGGGTGGTGTTGAGCTGTTCCTCCTCCCCCACCAAACCAGCATCACACAGTCTCTCTTGGTTAATCAGCTTTGTCTGTCTTAAGTCTCTAGGACTTGTGGCTGCTTGGAAAGGTGTGTCCTTTACAGTGGTTTTGGAGTGTGGCATGCTCTTGTTGTGGAGCATCAGGTGTGCATTTCCTGGTGTGAGCATGAGATTGGAAGAACAAGCAAGAGGGAGAGTGCATGCACAAGTGCCTAGCTACAGCAGAGTGTGTCCATGTGTGTGCATACATGTACGATCCTGCTTGCAAAGAGTGTGTGTGCCAAGATCTGGAATGTGGAAGAAACAAGTGTCATGAGTGGATGCACAAGCAGACAACTGCAGGCCTGTGTGTTTGAGGGCCTGGGGTTAGCCCAAGACATTTTGCTGCCTGAGGTAAGAAATTGTAACTCACATTATCTCAGCCAGTGTGCGCGAATTCAATCCCAGGGGCTCCAGGGTTGACTCAGCCTTCCATCCTTTTGTAGGCTGGTAAAATGAGTACCCAGCTTGTTGGGGGCAATTGGTTTACAGATTTTAAACTGCTTGAGAATGCCGAGTTCACTATTAAACAGTATAGAAAAGTAAATGCTGAGTGAGATAATGGGAGTTATAATCCAACCCAACTGGAAGGCACTAAGGTTTGGAAGGCTGTCAGGATTATTTCATCTATTTTCTCAACCAAATTCCTAACTTTTTAAAGCACACTAGGGTCTCTTGCTCTCTCTTATACACACACACATACGTACTCAAACTATACTTAAAAACAAACATACCAGTCTGTAATCTTACCTCCTTCAAAGATGTCAGCCTTTTTGACACACTAGGATTATTATTACAACTGAGCATGGCTCAAGGTAAATTCCCCCCAATCTAGGAATCTACTGCAACATATATTACTCAATAAATAACCAAGCCTGTGTTGTGCAACACAGCCTACTCAGATTTTGAAAGGATGCCACAAATTCTCAGACAGCATTACTGTTGGTGAAGGAACAAATTCCCTACAATGATCTGAGGTCAACAGATGAGCCAGAGTTGAAAATTTGCAATGTTGTTCTTAAAAATAATAATAATAATAAAGTATATTTTTTCCTCCTGCAACTCACGGCAGCTACTTTAAACCCTAGTTCATTTGGTGACCAGGGCAGGGCTTGCTAAACATATTCTAGCTTCCTGACTGGACAATGTGTAACCATGGCACTGCCACCCAACAAAGGATTAAAATGGTGTTCCATTCCAGAATGAACAATCTCAGAATGAACAGACCATTAGCATTCACCATTTTTCTAGGATGCCAAGTTTGGCATGAGGAATATCATATAGTGGTTCAACTCTATTGGGGGAATGGGTTCCAGTTTTACCCATGTCTTCTACTCTCCATTTTATGGTTGATTACACCTGCCTTGTTGTTGTTGTCGTTGTGTGCCTTTGAGTCGTTTCCAACTTACAGCGACCCTAAGGCAAACCTATCACAGGGTTTTCTTGCCAAGTTTCTTCAGAGGGGGTTTGCCATTGCCATCCTCTGAGGCTGAGAGAGTGTGACTTGCCCAGGGTCACCCAGGTCCAAAACACACTGCAGAAATAATCCAGTTTGAAACCACTTTAACTGCCCTGGCTCAGTGATAGAGAATTCTGGGAATTGTAGTTTATTCTGGTACCAGAGCTCTCTGACAAAGAAAGTTAAATGTCTCACAAAACTACAGTTCCCAGAATTTCCTAGCACTGAGCCAGGACAGTTAAAGTGGTCTCAAACTGGATTATTTCTGCAGTGTGTTTTGGACCCCATGGCTGAGCCAGGATTCGAACCCTGGTCTCCCAGTCCTAGTCCAGCATCCAAACCATTACACCACACAGGCCCATACACCTGCCCCAGTTTGTGTCAGTTCCCTCACTTTCCTCCTGCTCCTATCTACTTACTTTTATATATCTGCTGTTCAGTAACTCCCAACTTTGGGGAAGCAGATGTTGTAGGAATACAACTCCCATGATTCCCGGCAAGCATGGCTAACAGCAGGGGTAGGCAGCCTTTCCCCTTTAAGGGCCCAGGGACTTCAGCTCCCAGAATCCCAGCAGCTATTGGCCAACATGGCTGAGGCTTCTGGGAGCTGAAGTCCCTCGGACTTTAAAGGGGAAAGGTTGCCTACCCCTGGCTAACAGTAAGGCACTTTAAGGTCCAATCCACACTGAAGAAATAATCCAGTTTGCCACCACTTTAACTGCCCTGGCTTAATGCTAGGGAATTCTGGGAACTGTAGTTTTGTGAGACAGTTAGCCTTCTCTGTGAGAGAGCTCTGGTGCCACAAAAAACAATAAAATTCCCAGGATTCCCTAGCACTGAGCCAGGGCAGTTAAAATGGTATCAAACAGGATTATTTCTGCAGTTAGTGATTGGGCCTAAGAACCGCAGTCCAAAAACATTTAGGAAGCACAGATCTAGAACGATGAAACTTTGGTCATCTACAATGATTTGGACTTCAACTCCCAGATGCCCCAGCCACTTTGGCCAGTGGTCAGGGATTCTGGGAGCTTAAGTCCAAAATGTCCAGCAGACCAGTTTCAAAACCACTGTACTAATCAAATTGTTCTCAAATTGTTATTAAGCTCCTTCTTCTTCCTTCCCACTTTCCTGATCCTCTTGGCCTCCTTGTAACTATGCATCACTTTTATATGTTTTTAATTGATCTTTTAAACTGTAAGCCACTTTGAGTCCCAGTTTTGGGGGGGAAAGGTGGGATACAAATACATATAATAATGATGATGATAATAATGATAATGATAATATGGGGTTCATATTTCATATTCAGGTTTAGGGAACCTACAGTCCTCCAGAGGTTACTGGACTTGAATTCCAATAAGGTCAGTGTGGTGTAGTGGTTTGAGTGTTGGACTACAACTCTGGAGACCAGGGTTCGATTCCCAGACCTGCTGTGAAACCCACTGGGTGACCTTGGGCAAGTCACATGCTCTCAGCCTCAAATGATAGCAATGGCAAGCTTATGAACAAATCTTGCCAAGAAAACCCCATGATAGGGTTTGCCTTGGGGTTGCCATAAGCCAGAAACGACAACAACAAAGGTTTACCATACTTTATATCACACGGGGGAAATCCCAAGCATGAAACAGGGTTTTAAATTAAAAAAACACACAAAAGCAGGTTGATTTTCACATGTTGTTGTTGTTAAACTGTTGTTAACCTGAACGGAAAGTAGTCAAAAGCCGCTCCTTTTTACTTTCAGAAGATCCCGAAAGTAAAAAGGAGTAGCTTTTGTCTACTTTATGTTAGGGTGAACAACAGTTTAACAACGACGTGTGTGAAAATCAACCCACTTTTGCAGGTTTTCCCCAGTTTTTAAATCCAATTTCTGCACGGGATTTCCCCCATGTGATAAAGTCTGTAGTCAAGTTTGTCAATGGCGAGGGAAGCTGGGAGTCATAGTTCATCAAGAACTAAAGGACCACACATTCCCCGTTCATGCTTCTATGCTTACCTCCAGATGCTTATTGTTATCTCCTAGACTGTCATGGTTTTCACTGACTTTATGATGGAAACCAAACACGATAAACCAAGATCCTTATGGCCATCTAAAAATGAAACAAATTGCACATTGAGACATCAAAGGCTATTTCTCAGAACAGATGGAGAAAATGTGTATTTCTCATGAAATCAAACCCCTCATTGCCCCTCGTTCTGCTAAGGAGTTTATCACACGGGGTTTATCCCGTGCAGAAACGGGATTTAAAATGGGAAAATCCCACAAAAGCGGGATAATTTTCACATAACGTTGGGCATTAACAAGCACAGAAAGTGGACAAATCCTGCAAAAGTGGGATCGTTTTCACATGACATCAGGGGCATTGAGCATTAACATGAAAATAACCTGCATAGAAAGTGGACAAAATTGGCCGCTTTTTACTTTCGCGTTAATGCTCAATGCCCCTCTTGAGTATGAAAATGATCTTGCTTTTGCGGGATTTTTCCAGGATTTAAATCCCATTTCTGCACGGGATTTAGGCACGATAAACTCCTAAGGCAGGGACTTTTGGACACTACAGGGGTGCATCTGCACTGCACAAATAATGCAGTTTGATGCCACTTTAATTACCATGGCTCCTTCTTACAGAATCCTGAGATTTGTAGTTTTGTGAGGCACCAGCACTCTTTGGGAGCGAAGGCAGGGTGACCAGACGTCCTCCTTTTTCCAAGACATGTCCTACATTTCAACGTTATGTCCAGGAGGTATTCCAAAATATCCTCCATTTTGAGCATGACTAAGAAGCATGAATTTACATTTATTTTAGTGTTTTGAGTTTTTGTTTGGTAATGTCTTACATCTTTCTTGAATGTCCTACATTTTATGGTGCCTTGTCCTTAGGACAACCGGTCACTCTGCAG